CTGGACAAAAACTTTATACACTATTCATTAAACTAAATAGAGTAGATGTAATTCATCATATCTTTCCAAATCAGAAATTGGATAGAATGATAAAAAAACCATTAGTCTCCTTTATAGGTAAATTCAATTTAATCCACTCATTCAACTTTCTAAATCTAGCTTTATTAGATTCTAATGGAAAAACCTACAAAGATATTCTACACTATGGTTACGTAACTCTATTCAGAATGTATTTAAATTTTTTAAAATCGAGATCAAATGACAATAATAACTATGATAAACAATTAATAGAAATTAGAAACTATATAAAAAACAATGAAAAACTAAAAGAGTTTAATTTAGAATTTTAAAAAAATAATAAAAACCAATTTTTCCTTAAAATAAACTTTTAAATATAAATATAAAAATAAAATATTTTTTAAAATAACAAAATTATTATAATTTTCAAATATAAAAATAGTATTATTTATTTTTTTAATTTGAAAACTATCCACCATGATTATGGTATCCTATCAGAAATTTTTTTTCTACAAACATTATAAATACCATTTGTCATATTATTTTTTAAAAGATGAAAAAATACAATTTGATATACTCTATTTTCTTCATCTTTTAAAAAAGTTTTTAGATGGCTATTTATAATATCCAAAAATAAATATTGAAGAAATTTATATAAATTTTTTTTTTTTTGTAATTTAATTTAATTTATTTTATTTTAATTTATTTTAATTATTTTATTTTATGTATAAATCAAAATAATTAATTTATAGTTAGTCTATTTGTATAATATTTAGATCTACCATTGATATACTCTATACAATCTTGCATAGTTATTTCTAAACCACAGTAATCTTTTGCAAAATCATTTATAATCGAAAACTTCCACTCTAACAAATCTCTATCTGTTTTATAATGGTCCATAAACCACTTTTCAAACTAGATGTTAAAAAAAGTAAAATTAATATTATTTTTTAAATTTAAAATACAATTTAAAAAATGATTACCCTTCTACCATCTAAAAAATTAAACAAAACCTTTACAAACATCTCTTGATTTAATAACATTTGAATATCGTAACATCTACATAAAACTCTATTTGAATAATCCAAAAAAATATTCACCATCATTTCGATTACATCTTTTTCGTTGTGACTTTGCAAAGGACGATAATGAAAATATTTGATAAAGTAATCTATTGCCAACAGTCTGAATGCAACATGAGTACGGTCAAAGTTGAAATGTTTGAACATTTTTACTACCCATTTTAAAATATCAGAGTTCATACAATTGTTTCTCATTATAAACTCTAGGAATTGGCAGTTCTCTATAAAATCTATATCTTTGCATTCGTAATATTGATATATTCTTTCTTCGTTATGATATTCATATGGAGGATGGGTGGGTATTTGAGTTTTTTTTATTTTAATATCTTTTATTATTGAGTTTTTATTTTCCAATATATATTCGATTGTATTTATTCTATTATTTAAGATAAAATTTATATCTGATTTTGAGTCACACATTATATTACTATTTTATTATTGTAATATAATTATTTTATAATTATTATTACCCTTATGGTTTATTTAATTGATTTGTTAATGTAAAAAAAAATAATTAGAAAAAGTTAATGTGTAAATTATTTTTTTTTAAATATTTAATAATTTAAAAAAAATTAAATTAAATGTTGTGTGTTGAAAGTGTGAATTTAAAAATAAAAATATAAATAAAATGATGTATTAAACAATAGTATCATTGTGATATTATTTTTATGTTTGTTTGTTAGTTTGTTTGTTTGTTTGTTTTCATTTTTAGCTAACCACTTGTGACAAAAATATAAATATATATTGTTTTGATAGTGCACAAACAGATCTGTTTGTTTATTTGATATGGTAAAACACATTTTTAAAAATTGAAAAAATTTTAAAATAATAAAAAAAAAAAAAAAAAGCAAATATTTGACCACAGATAGATACACACACACATTTAAACTGTACTGGTGGGTTGTGGGGTGAATACAAAAATAAAAAAAAATTACAGAGATGTGTCCATTTTAAAGTTATATATATATTTTTTTCAAATAATTTAGATTTTAAAAATAGATCTAATTAAATTGACAATATTTAATTTTGGGTATTTTTAGAAAATACTAAATTACTTTAAAATAATGAATAATTAGAAAATATTTAATATATATATTCAAAAAAGAGCATCAATACTCCTATCTATCAAGTTTGGTTGCAATTCAGTAGGTGTATGAAATCTAAATAGAAGAAAGAATGAAAAAAAAAGTAATCTGCTTATCAACAAAAACATTCCAAAAAAAAAAAAAAAAAAAAAAAAAAAAGAAAAGATCGAAAACTTGTGGTGTCGCTCTTAATTTAAGAAAAAGAAATATAGTTTTTATCATCTTCTGTGAGGAAAATCTATATTTTAAATAAAACTATAATGTAATTAAAAAAAAAAAAATTAATCAGTTAGAGAAATAAAATAATCATTAAATAAATTTATTAATATAACCATATAGGCTATCGGGATATCAAATTACCAAAAAATCAAAAACAAAAAAAAAATAAAAATAAAAATAAAAAAAAAAAATTAAAAAAAAAAAAAAAAACCTTTTCACTTTTCGTTTTTTCATATTTTTTTATATTACAAATTTTCATAGCGGTTCTAAAAATTTTTATTATACAACAATAAAGAAATCAAAGGTGACCTTTATATAAATATTTATCAAAAAGTACATTGGCATGAATAATTTTTTTTTTAAACTGTATGTATAACGTGTCTCAAAGATATCTTTAAACCATAATCACCACCCAGCCCCCAGAAATAAATAAAAAAAAGTGTTGTAAATTAAAAAAAAACTTTTGGGGCCAGTTAATTTAAAGCCGAAATAAAAAAAATTTTTTTTTTTTTCTTATTTTTATTTTTTTTTTATTTACATTTTTTTTATTTTATTTTTCTAAAAGTATTTATAAA